ACAAATGACGTCATACATTAAGAATTAGACAAAGTAAATGAGGCTTCCGTATAGGATGCAGGTTCGAATCCTGTGAAAGGACGAATATTTTCTATGAAAATTTCTCGGACATTCAGGCCGGTAAATGTTATTTAGTACTGTTTATTATAAACAGAGCATTTAAATAAATACTTGTATCTATAAAAACAATGTTAAACATAAAAATGTCTTTTAATAAATTGTTGGACTTTGTCCAATTCATAATTAATATATATATATATATATATATATATATATATATATATATATATATATATATATATATATTTATAAATATATATATATATATATATATATATATATATATATATATATATTATATTATATATATATATATATATATATATATATATATATATTAATTTATGCGCAATGCTATTTTTTTACCGTAGTCACTATTGCACTGCTGGGCATCATCCTAGACATAATTTACAGCAAACATTTTTCAATATTCTCTGTAGAAAAACTACCCCGAAATGGTGAAAAAAAAAAACACCCTTACCTTAAAAGATCTAATACGAAAATTTAGAAACTGAAAATTTGTTTTCTTTCACGCTTGACTAAAATAAAACGACATGTAGAAAAAAAATTTGGCTACGGGAAGCAGTCAAAAGCAGATTAACTGTAACGTTAAATTTAGCCTAATGCAGAAGGACGTGCACCTATCTTTTATAGACTACACCAAGGCGTTCGATAAAGTACGCCAGAAAGACCTGTTGGAACTGCTCAGGAACCTTGGTATATCTGGGAAAGATATTAGAATAATCAAGAACCTCTACTGGAAGCAAACTGTCTGCATACGGATAGAAAATGAGTTGAGTTGATATCTAAAAACAGAAAGGGGCGTAAGGCAAGGATGTGTCTTCTCACCGGACATTCAACCTATACAGCGAGGTAATTCTCAGGGAACGGGATATCCTGCCAGGATTCGTCATTCACGGCTAGAATCTTAATACAATATGATATGCAGATGATAGTGCTGATAGCAGACATAGAAAGAAAATTACACAACCTACTACGGAAAGTAGCGAGGGAGAGCAGGAAGAAGGGACTAACCACAACATACAAGAAGGCAGAATGCATGGTCATCAGTAAAGGATGAACCCAAAATGCGATTTCAAGGTCGGGGACTTTAAAATCAAGCAGGGGCGTAAATTTAAATATCTGGGATGTGTTCTGACAGAGGACGGTAAGCGCGACGCTGAGAACCGAAGACGTACTAGAATGGCCAAGGACGCATTCCAAAAGCTAGGCAGAGTATTACAAGACAGGAGGATTTCGTTGGTAACAATAAAAAGTGTACTAAACTCCTACGAGATATCTGTCCTCCTTTACGGCAGCGAAGAAGAGACAGCAGTATGGTTCTACAGAAGGATGCTGAGAATACCATGGACTGAACGTGTGAGCAACGATGAGATTTTGGAGAGGATGTGTTGAAACTTGACTAATGCATGGAATAATAATGCAACGCAAAATGTACATAGAACAAAATGTATTGATGTATTGAAACAAGAAAGTGTACATAATATTTACATATAGTCTTTTGTATATTCCTGGTAAGACCGTTCCTGGAGAATGTGTTGACTTAGTCGCAGTCGGGCAGAGTCTCTGGTTGAATCTCTTGATTCCTTCCCTCTCTTCCTGGTACCAACCATATTTATATGGTCGGTACTCCACTATGCAAATTAGGTGGATCCTACCACAACAGGATGCAAACAAAGACTTATATTTAACATCAGGAAGAAGCAGATGAAATTTCTTGGACACGTAATAAGAAAAGAGGGCTTGGAAAATCTGATGCTCACAAGGCGTATAGATGGAAAGAGGATCAAGCGGAAGCAACACGTGTTATAATTAGCGGGCTTAAGCAAGCAGATGGCAGAACAGGGTCTGGGAGAATTAGCAAAATGTCAAAATCTTTTGAGAACTACAGGAGATAGGATAAAGTGGGGAGCCATAATCGCCTCCGTCCTGAAGGGAGACAGCACATAAAAGAAGAAAGGTACCCTGCGAATGTTGGTCTACCAGGTAGTTTATGGTCAATGAAACTGCATGAATTTTTAACCCCACTCTCAAAAAAATTACCTGTGTATAGTGCAAGCAGTGACCCAAAATGCACGATTTTTATCTTGAAAAAATTACCCGTGTATAAGGCATGGAACACCTATTTTTTGCTTAACAGAAATAATCACAAAAAACTTGCACTATATTCGATTATAGGCATATAAAGAATTAATATATATTTTTTATATATATATATATATATATATATATTATTAAAATTATTATTATGTTTATACATTCTTTTTTATATATTATTATATTATATATAATATATATATATAATATAATATATATTATATATGACATATATATATTATATATCTTTATATACATATATATATGTATATAAAGAATTAATGGATTTTTAATCCAACAATGTAAAAAATTAATGGAATTTTTATACAACAATATAAAGAATTTATGGCTTTTTAATACAGCAATATAAAGAATTAATGGCTTTTTAATACAGCAATATAAAGAATTAATGGCTTTTTAATACAACAATATAAAGAATTAATGGCTTTTTAATACAATATTTATCATTATTATAAACGTTGCATTGGTTTTAAACAGAATAATTGACATTTATCAGGCTCAGCTTTTTTCATGAATCTTTAATAAAGAAATGATGACCTGTAGCGAGGCTCAAACCTGCATCCTCTTTATATCGGTTTACGTTTCGGACGTAAAAAAAAAAAATAAAGTTAGTTCATACGGGCTTCAAAAGTCCTGAACGATAATGTGATTTTCTTCATAATAATAATCGAGCTTTGTTTGCACCATAAAGTCCTTTATGGCTGAACTGTCCAAAAAGCACACTCTGTGATATGGCGGTTTCAGCCTATTTAAGATATATATGCACATTCGAAAGTTACGTTTTCTCACTTAAAAACTTTCGAAAATTCTATGCCGGTTAAAAATCAATTATTATGTTTAAAAACGGGGACGTCTACTCAAACACCCGTACCCTTATAAATATAATGTTTATAACAATGTGAACTCTTGATTACACGTCATTTCTCTTATAAATTCCTCTGTTTTACTCTGGCTTTTTTTTTTTCTTGGGTCATTTCTTCCTCTCTCTCTTTCATCTTCTCTTTTCATGTGTACATAAGGTTAGTAAATGCTAACCAGACGACAGATTTTCCTATATACATCGGCAGTGTAAATTGTCTAGATCTTAAATTTGGATCATATCATCTTTTATTGTGTCTAATGTCACCACAAATTTATCCACCATTTTCCGGTGTCTGATTTTTTTTGTTTGTTTTTTTTTAATCTTAGGTCAAGAAATCGGTAGTGACTTATGTAACTGATAATAACTTATATTTATCTGTACCGCACTCATTTAAAGCGTTATTTAACTTCTCTCTTTAAAACTTCACTCTTTTAAATATATATATATATATATATATATATATATATATATATATATCTTTTAAATCTTATTTCCCACCCTCACATTCAGGTCTTTCCTGTTCTTCTTTCTTCCGTTACACCCTCTCTCTAGAGCTTTCATATAATTCCCCCTTATCATTGTTTCTCACTCCCACACATACACTCTCACCGAAATTTTGTTTGTTATACCCAGTGATATATGTTCTGTTTTCTTTTTTAATTTGTAGGTCTGATTAATTGGATTCGGATTACGATTCCAATGTAATAAATTATAACAATGGAACATTAGTGTTTGAGCCTTTTATATATTATTCTAGCTCGATCTTGTACATTGATTTCTACTTGGATTATATCCTCTTAGAAATATATATGTATATATTGACTAATAATATTATATATACACTGCGTGCCAAATTATTATCGAAATAACTTTTTTTCTAATATTTCAAAAACCGTCCAATCAATTCACACAACATTTTCACACAATGTTACTGACCTGCTTAATCACTAAAATTTTGGTACTGACGCCATATTTCGTATCAGTGCGTGCCAAATTATTAGAAAGGTTTAGTAAAATTCTTTCTCTGTAATCGCAGATAAAGCTATAGTAACGCCGTTGAACAATACTGGTGTCAGACGCCTTCGAATATCACTCGAACTAATAGTATTTGCTCGATAACACTCGCTTGAAAAAGTAACCACGGTATAGTGATCCGAATAGAGAAATAGTATAGTGTAAACTAAAAACCTATAATATAATTTAGCATTCCAATTTTAATACACATGATAGAAACATTATTTCTTCTATATTTGACTACACACCGCATTTTTATTGCCGATTTTCAATTTATTTCTATAGTAGTGAATAGCAGTCCGTAATGTAATAGAGGATAAACTAGAAATAGCGATCATTTAAACTTCCCGCTACTTTCTCCTTGTGCGTTTCCACCATAGTCGCGTGATCCACTTAAATCAATAATGGGATCGCCCGTGTTTGCTCACTGGCGATCTATGTTCAAACTCAAGTGTCGGCAGCGACACTTTATTCTTATATAACACTTATAGATATGTAAGATAGATTCTGGAGAGAAAAAGTGTCCAGCGCCGAGACAGTGGACCAATTTTCTTAGCAGTTCGAATACCTGTCAGCTGTGAATGTTAGCCCAAGAAGGTGTAACGAGTTACTCTCCTGAAGGTTAGCATCAGCCATTCTGGTGGAAGGCAGAAAGGTCTCCTTCGGATGATTAACAGAGAGGAAAGGTATGAAAGTATAAACACTATGCAGCGACGTATAGCCAGCATTAGAAAGAGCTTAATTTATTAGACATCTGAAGAGGGGAAGAGAATTTGACACTAATCGAATATCCAAGGCAAATGAGGGAAGTTGCTGGTCCCATAGCTGATGAGATGAGCGGATAGCGGAACGGGTGTCAGATATCGTAAGAAACAAACCGCTACAAAGGATAGCCAAGAATTATGGTTACCCACGTTCTAAAAATATGCGAGCCGCGTTCAAATACCGAGTAGGGACATTTGCGTTCACGTACGACTAAATGTTATATTGTAGAGAAAGTTTGATTATATATGTTTCATATCGCAGACTGAACTCTAGGGTTGTCTTCATTTAGGGCATTCACTAATCCTCTGGCAACGAATGACCTTTAACCTGCTAATGAATATTCTCCTTTACGAGAAAAATCGAAAGGTACGGCGGGGTGCAACTTTACGACTATGGGAAAGTGACTGAAATTGAGACGCCAATAATATTGCTAATTCTTCTTTAGACTTTAAGAATATATATATATATATATATATATATATATATATATATATATATATATATATATATATATATATATAAGTGAACATACAAGTCAACACTTAGAGGCGACAGTCTGTTTCATGCTATATGCAATCGTCAGACCACATATGCTGTTATTTTTCTCGGCTATTTATATATATACGGGTTAGTGGTGCATTGTGGGTATTCTATTATGGCGGTTATTTTACCGGAAGTCTCTTTGTTTATTCATTTGGGTCAAATTATATTGCTCGTTTTTATTTTTTCTTATTTTATTTATTTATTTATTTATTAACGTAGTAAAAATTTATTTATATCACGTATTTAACAGTTTTGTTTTGGTTTGAGAATTTAATTAAAGCTATTTGTTCAATTTTGGGGTTGGTTGTTGTAGTTCATTCTAACTATTATTTTTTTGGGGGAACAGTTTTTACTTTGGGATTGGTTTGTCTATTTATTTACTTGGATGAATTTTCAATTTATTTTACTTGTATATTTTCTCTTTTCGGTTTTTATTTTATTTATATTTTATTTCTACGTTTTTCTTTTTCAAAAATTTTTTGTTTTTAAACAACATCGTAAAAATATTTATTTATGAGCTTGATATTTTTTATTTATATATTGGCTGAGAAAAATTGCATATACTTAGCATATAGCATGAAACAGACTGTCACTTTAAGTTGTTGACGTCTGATTTTTACACGCTCTATCTCTGATATTGAGCACTTTATTCCATAAATATAGCACACCTTAAGACTATATTTCTTTATATATATATATATATAAGTGAACATAGAAGTCAACACTTAGAGACGACAGTCTGTTTCATGCTAGATGCAATCATCAGGCCACGAGCATGAAACAGACTGCCACCTTAAGTGTTGACGTCTATGTTCACTTTTATATTTACACACGCTTCCACAAAATCTGACCAAATAAAAATATTTTTAAAGGATATTTTAACGGGCCATCAAATACTCATCCTTCCAACATACAAGTAGTAAAGCCATATTCTAGTAATCGAGCTTAAATTGCAAATATCTGGAAGTCAAAAACGAGAAAGAAGCGCGTTTTTCTATTTACTTGCATGATAAAAAGTACCTCACTAAGAACATGTTTTATGTGATTAATAGAACTTCATTATAGACTTGTGTTTTGCCTTATATAATTCAACCCCCTTCTAAATATGGGCTTTGTATGATTGTTAGAATATCACTATGGAGAAGAAGGTGTGTAAGTGACATTTTAATACGATTTACTCAAGAAAGTTTGAAATCAATAAAAGATAAATCCCTACCGTCGGGCAACAATTAATGACACTGACCGCGATGCGTCAAAACTACATGGCATATAGGAAACAGGATAAAGACACATTCACATACACACCCATATATATATATATATATATATATATATATATATATATAGTAAAAGAGAGAGAGAACATATATATATATATGTAAAAATATGTTAGATAATATATATATATATATATATATATATATATATATATATATGTTTATTGTTTATTTTGAAAAAACAAGTTCTCGGCAAAAGCCATTTGCGGAAATCAATATTCTGATGTTTAGTAATTGAAATCTAATTTTGAGAATTGGTTTTGTCCGAAAATGTTTCAATAAATCTTCGTAGGTGCATATATTTGCATATATATATATATATATATATATATATATATATATATATGAAAATTTCTCCGATTTAATCGGTAGAGAAGACAATATTATGAATAAAAACTTTCATTTTTTCATTTTCGTATTTTGCTTTGATAAAGTCCACATTGGACAAAAACGCGTCAGCAATTACCAGTTTTTCTATTGTCATTTATATATATATATATATATATATATATATATATTAAATATATATGAAATGAAATATATATATATATATATAGGTGTGTGTGTGCGTGCGTGCGTGCGTGCGTGCGTGCGTTTTTGTGTGTGCGTGCGTGCGTGCGCGTGCGTGTGTGTGTGTGTAAAATTTGAAAAAGGAAAACTTATCTTAGTCGACGTTTTTTCGTCTTCTGAGCGACTTTATCTTCTGAAAAAACGCGTCGATTAAAATAAGTTTTCCTATTGTCTTGATTCATCTCGTCCTTTATACTCTATCTGGAATATATATATATATATATATATATATATATATATATATATATATATATATATATATATATATATATGTGTGTAAAAATATATACGGAAAAAAACAAACAAAAATCCTAATATCCAATTATGCTGTTTTAATGTTAATATAAATGTCAACGTCGGACGTTTCGGTCTAATAAACCATCTTCAGGACACATTCATAAAACATAATTAACATTACACCATATTCAATTCAACATGAAAAAGACGATGGACATAAGAGCAAGACCAATACAAACAGATAACTGAAATCTTTTATAAGATCAGCGTTCCGTTTAAATATCATGTTTTATGAATATGTCCAAAAGATTGTCTATTAGACCGAAACGTCCGACGTTGACATTATATTAAATTAATACAGCATAATTGCATATTAGGATTTTTTTGTTTGTTTTTTCCGTATATTTTCTTCATACTGTCGGATCTATATCCTTATATTTGCTCACACACACACACACACACACACATATATATATATATATATATATATATATATATATATATATATATATATATATATTATATTTAACGTTGTTATTTCATTTAATAATTTGTCGGACCTTGTCCATTTCTTAAATATATATATATATATATATTTGTCTCTTTTTCCTCTTCGTCAAAGGCTCGCTAGTCGAGTAGCACGATGCTTACGTCGTATCGTAATGGTCTAAGTTCGATTCTTGATAGTGGATGTGCATTGCTGATGAGTCCCAAAAAGGACGAAACGACCGTTACAAGGCTTTCTGCTGAGGATTCTTGTTCTCGTCTCAATGAATTATTATATATATATATATACTAGCAGTATAACCCGTCTTTGGCCGGGTGTTTCATTACTGGGAATTTTTACCGTTCATTTGGAGCAGTTTAAGTTTAAAATCAGCCCACCCGAAAATCAATATTAGTAACAACATTTAGATGCAACTGAAGTACATTCCTAAAGGGGGGTGGCGTTAACAATCTGAATGGGGGGGTGGCACTGAAAAGGGAACTGTATAATAATAAATAATATTATTGTAATAATTTAAACTATTTATTTTTTATTAAAGTTTTTATAAAAGATATATATTCAAGAACAGATAGGAAATAGCAAAATGTTGCTGAGAGTTATAATGGACAGGAAGTAGTGGAGAGCTATTGTCGCCAACAATTGGGACTCAAAACCGTTAGTAGATATGAATACTGGTCATTATTTTAAGAAATGAAAAGATACGAAATTGACAACCTTTTCCCATTTCACTGAAAGGACCGTTAAGTTATTCTTTCTTTCTTTCTTTTTTTACTTTCTTTCTTTCTTTCTTTATTTATTTATTTCTTTCGTTCTTTCTTTCTTAATATTCCTTTCCTTACATCTTTCATTCCTTCCTTGCTTCTTTTTCATTCTTTCTTATAAATTTCTTTCTTTCTTTTTCTTTTGCTCTTTCTTTCTTATACACGTATGTTTCTCTGTTGTTCACAAAAATATTTCTATGTTAGCACTCACGGAATCATTTTGCATTTTTCTTTCTTTCTCTACTTTTTTTCTTTCTATTCATTTTCTATCCTTTTCTTCTTTCTTTTCTTCTTTCTTTCTTTCTTTCTTTCTTTCTTTCCTTCTTTGTTTCCTATCCATTTCTTTGTTTCCTTGTTCTTTCTTTCTTACATATGTATTTATATGTTCCTAAAAAAAATCTACCTCAGTACAGAGTAAACCATTTCTTTTTTTTCTTTCTTTCTTTCTTTCTTTTCTTTCTTTCTTTTCTTTCTTTTCAGACTCTCAACCAAACTTTTTTTCTTTCTTTCTTTTTTTTTTTTCTTTCTTTCTTTCTTTCGAACTCTCTACCATTTTCTTCTTTTTTTTCTTTCTTTCTTTCTTTCTTTTTTTCTTTCTTTCTTTCTTTTCTTTCAAAAAAGAGGGAACCAAAACCTCTTTTAACCTTTTAAACTTTTTCTTTCTTTCTTTCTTTCTTTCTTTCTTTCTTTCTTTTCTTTCTTTCAAACCTTTCTTTTTTTTTTTTTTCTTTTTCTTTCTTTCTTTTCTTTCTTTCTTTCTTTCTTTCTTTCTTGAACTCTACAAATAGATCCTCTTTTTTTTCTTTCTTTTTCTTTCTTTCTTTCTTTTTTCTTTCTTTCTTTCTTTCAAGACTCTCTTTCAAACCTCTTTTCTTTCTTTCTTTCTTTTTTCTTTCTTTTTTCTTTCTTTCTTTCTTTTTCTTTCTTTCGAACTCTAAACTGAACCTCTTTTCTTTCTTTCTTTCTTTCTTTTTTCTTTCTTTCTTTCTTTCTTTCTTTTTTTGAACCTCTTACCTTTCTTTCTTGCTTTTTTTTTTCTTTAAAGACTTTCTTTTCTTTTTTTTTTTTCTTTCTTTCTTTCAGACTTTCTTATTTTTCTTTCTTTAGACTTGAATATCATTTTTCTTTCTTTCTTTCTATTTCTTTCTTTCTTTCTTTCTTTCAGACTCTCTACCATAACCTTTTTTTTCTTTCTTTCTTTCTTTCTTTCTTTCTTTCTTTTCTTTCTTTCTTTTCAAACTCTCTACCATAACTCTTTTCTTTC